TGCTGGCCTGGTGTGATTCATGCCAGCCCGGTGTGCTCCATGCCAGCCCGGTACGCTCTGTGCCAGCCCGGTGTGCTCCGTGCTGGCCCGGTGTGCTCCATGCCAGCCTGGAGCGCTCCATGCCCACGTCAGAGCAGGGCTCCGGGACAGGCCTGGGCTATCCCTCTGGACCGGATCTTCGTTGTTGTAACAAATTTACATTTTGTTCACTTTTTGCTGCCCAAAGGGATAATTTTCCTCTTCCAGAGCCCAGCGATGTGCCCAGGTCAGACCCGCCCTGCGGAGCTGGGCAGCAGCGGGGTGAGCAGTGGGGAGGTGAGGCTGGCCGGGGGCCCTGTGGCTGCCTGATGCCGCTTTCCATCCAGGCACAGTGGGCCCAAAGGTCTCTGGCACAGCTCCCAGACACAGTTGTTGGAAAAGCTGTCCCTGGAGGCAGCTGCAGTTACCCATGGGCAGCGTACTGGAGCAGAGCCTGTGCATTCCCCAGTCGGGCACGGCGCTGGGAGCAGGGATGCTGCTGCCCGTGGGTCCAAGTCTCAGCCTAGGGATCAGGGATGTTTGAGGGGGTGAGGTGCTGAGCAGAGTGGGTCTCAGCTCCCAGAGCAGCGGATGAGGATGTGGAACGTGCTCCTGACCCTGTTTTCTCCTCCCTGCCCAGGTGTGCATTGTGCAGAAGAGGGACACGGAGAAGATGTATGCCATGAAGTACATGAACAAGCAGCAGTGCATTGAGAGGGACGAGGTGCGCAACGTGTTCCGAGAGCTGGAGATCCTGCAGGAGATCGAGCACGTGTTCCTGGTGAATCTCTGGTGAGCAGCTCCCTCCCCTGCGCCTCCGGTGCTCACAGAGCCAACACCCAATAATCCCAGGGGCTCTCCTGGCACTTGCAGCAGCAGGTCACTACAAATGGTGACAGTTCAAGTTGCTCGATAATGACTTCACTGTGTGTGCACTGGCAGAAATATCCTCATTACTGAGCAACAGCTAATTTTAAAAAAACACTCTTAAAACCAGGTTGAAATCTAACAAATAGCTTGAGTTGGCAATGCCTGGGAAACGTATCCTGTCTAGGCAGTGCCAGTACCAAAGACTGTCAGTACCAAAGGCTGCAGTCTGTCTCATCTGCCCTACAACCACATTGACCCCTCAGCCCACCAGCATCCCTCGGTGTGCTTTGCACCACTCTCACTGGCCAAAGAAAACACTTTCCTTTGGAGATCAGACACATCATTATCAAATTCTGCAGGAAAAACTAATTTACAGTCTTAGAAAATAAAGCATTATATCCTAGTGTTGTTGGATAGTTTGTGGTGAGACAGAGGCCTTGGGACCCCCTGCTCCAGTGATCTGTCATCCTCAGCCTTCCTGCCCAGTGAAGGGTCCCCTCCCACTCCAGCAGTGCTGGATGTGTGCCAGGCTAGTGGGGTGTGGGACACTTCTAAAAATTGAGGAAGTTTTATACCCAAAGTGATGGAAGTGGGTGATGTGTCACATTTGTTTTGTTGATCCATTGCTCCAGAATAGCCAATTGAGTTAATATTGATATTTTTCAGTTTCTTAGCAATTGCAAATGTTTTTCCCAACAAGCAATGAAATTCTGTAGAGAACTTGCTCTCATAGCAAACCCTTTCGGCCATAGTTTTAGACTAAACCTACATTTAAGATGGGAGCAGAAGTGAGTGATTCATAAGTATTATACAATCCCACATACTCTTTCCTCGGAACTGCAGTCACCAAATATAACAATGAGCGTTGTTTTGGTGTATCCCCACTGCTGTCAGTCTCCCGTGGGACCCACGGCAGATTTAGAGAGGCGGTTTACTCCACAGTAAATATAAATCTCTTTTTCTGGTTTATCTGGTTAAATTAACAGTTGTGCTTTCCAACTCATCTTCAAGATAGGCTGAGATATTTTAAGTAGGTTTTATGAGATTGTTTGCAGTTGAAAATGTGAAGTTTCTTTGAAGTGTCTGGCTGGCAGAGCCTGAGCTCTGTGCTGGTGGGCTGACATGGCACACTGCTCAGGGACAGTGACAGGGGGAGCAGGGGACATTACCTGGGATACTCATGTCTTTCAGGGAAGCATTGCTTAACATAGGAATTGATTTTAAAAACAAGTGAGCATCTTGAGCTGGACATGCTTGATTGTGAAGGTGCAAGCAGCAAAGCTGCATCTTCACTTGTGGGCCCAATACTGCAAGGACCTTGAGGGGCTGGGAAGGGGCTGGAGCCCCAGGAGAGGCTGAGGGAGCTGGGAAGGGGCTGGGGAACTCCTGAGGGAGCTGGGAAGGGGCTGGGAACTCCTGAGGGAGCTGAGGGGGTTCAGCCTGGAGCAAAGGGGGATCATGGGGATCTTGTGGCTCTCACAGCTCCTGACAGGAGGGGACAGCTGGAGGGTCGGGCTCTGCTCCAGGAACAGGGACAGGAGCAGAGGGAACGGCCTCAGGCTGGGCCGGGGCAGGCTCAGGGTGGATATCAGGGAAAATTTCCTATCCAAAAGGGCTGCCCAGCCCTAGCACAGCTGCCCAGGGCAGTGGCAGAGTCCCCATCCCTGGAGGGATTTAAAAGCCATGTGTTTGTGGCAGCTGGGGACAGGGGCAGTGGTGGCCTTGGCCATGTTGGGAATGGTTGGACTCAAAGGTCTGAGAGAGCTTTTCCAGCACAAATGGTTCTGGGGTTCTATGCCCATGCTGGGGCCACGTGCAGTTCCCCCTGGAGCTGTGTGATTAAGAGAGGGGAAAAGCCTGGCTGGGTTTGTGAGCCCCGTGAGGCTCAACCACTCCCTGGTCCTGCAGGTATTCCTTCCAGGATGAGGAGGACATGTTCATGGTGGTGGACCTGCTCCTGGGAGGGGACCTGCGCTACCACCTGCAGCAGAATGTTCAGTTCACTGAGGAGATGGTCAAACTCTACATCTGTGAGATGGCGCTGGCCCTCGACTACCTGCGGAGTCAGCACATCATCCACAGGTACCTCCAGGGCTCTGCTGGCCTGCTGGCACCTGCCCTGCTGGCCCTGGGGGTGCTCATGGTGTCCCTGCTGCTCCTGGCCACCCCCTGGCCGCTGGTCCCCCCACCACTCACAGGGAGTCTGATGCTTCACTGGGGTTGAACATTTCAGGGCAGGTGTTAAAGCCATCCAGGAGTTCACACAAATATCCTCAGTATTGTTATTCCTTTTCTTGGGAATGAGGCCTGAACAGGTCTAATCCTTCCAGTTTTTCACCAAGTTGCCCAGGAAAAGTTTATTTTTAGTCCATCATAAAGGGGCTTGCCTCATGTTGGAATATTTTTGTTTGATTTGTTCCTAATTTTTGATAGATAAACAATTGCAGGTTTTTTGTCATTGAGTCTCATCCCTGGTCTGACTGAGATTCCATCTGCTGTAATCTTCCTTCTTTTCCCAGAGATGTAAAACCAGACAACATCCTCCTCGATGAACAAGGTAGGATCACTCTGCTCCTGTTTGTTTGCTCCCTCATGCATTCCAGGGACAGATTCTGTAGTCTGGGTATCTATTTACCTGGGGAAAGTGTGGGAAAAGCTGCTCTGCTTTTACTGGACCATGCTTGGCTGAACATCTGTGTGCTTTTTAATGTGGGGATGGTCACCCAGCTGGCCTGTCCAGTGTGCTGTGGTCAGCACAGAGTGGCAGCCCAACTTCAGCCCTGGGAATCTGGAGTCATTGCATTTCAATGGCTTCAGTGGCTTGGAACACCCATGTCTAGGGAAGCTCCATGGCAGGAGCTTGGAACGAGATGATCTTTATGTCCCTTCCAACACAAACATTCTGTGGTTTTCTGATAGTGTTTCCCTGGTGTCTTTTTCAATCCTGTAGCTCCTGGCCAGAACAATTTGGTTGGTGCTGAAGCAAAAAAACACTCTTTAAAAACACTGTTTAAACTGTTACTGGCTAGCTCCGAGTGTCATTTAAAATCAAAACCTGAAGCTCCCTACCCTTTAATGATCTGGCCAGCCCAAATCCTGGGAAACCTTTGGGATCTCCCATGGCTATGCCATGGGATCTGGCCCTGACTTGCCTGTGTCTGTGCTACCCTGTCTGAGGGCAGGAGCTTATGAAACAAATGTGTTCTGACTGCATTGCCACTGCACTGCCATTAATTCCTTCTTAAAATGTGTCTTTATTTAAGGTCATGCCCATTTAACAGATTTTAATATTGCAACCATCATTAGGGACGGTGAAAGAGCGACAGCATTGGCTGGGACAAAGCCATACATGGGTAAGAGACAGCCACTGCTCTCGTGTCACATTCTGAGTGCTCAGCACATGCTGCCCCAGCCAGGGCCCTCCAGCTAATTTAGGACATTGGTGCTCGTGTCCAAGTCGTTCAGCACAGCCCGATTGTTTGAGAAAGGGAACTCCCAGTGTGAAGGCATGGGGAGTGGCATGTCACCCCGTCCCATCCCATCGTGTCCTGCCCTGTCCTGTCCTGCCCTCTGCATTGCATCCTGTGCAGTCCCCCGATCCTGTCCTGCCCTCCTCATCCCACCTCCTGCTGCGCTCCCCATCCCTCTCTGGCTCCAGCCTGGCACTCGGTGTGGCCCGGGGCCCCGTGGCTGTGCTGTCCTGTTTGGGAGGGCTGTCCCTGCAGGTGGCTGACGTCCCAGTTCCCTTGAGGGCAGGCGCACGGCTGCTGCTCCCCTGCCTCACACAGCCTCCCCTCGGGCAGCCGCGCAGAACGATCACCGTGAGCGTAGCGCACTGACTTACATCAAACAGCGGAGTAGAGAACAGCAACTAACCTGTTGTGTGTTGTGCCTTTCTGCTCAGCCCCGGAGATTTTCCATTCCTTCCTGAGCGGCGGGACGGGCTATTCCTTCGAGGTGGACTGGTGGTCCCTGGGGATCATGGCCTACGAGCTGCTGCGGGGCTGGGTAGGGCTGCGGCCGTGCCGGCCCTCGGTCGCGTGCTCTGGCTGACCCAGAGGGAGAGCGGGCTCCTTATTTGTGCTCTTGTCCCCAGAGGCCGTACGACATCCACTCCAACAACCCCGTGGAGTCTCTGGTGCAGCTCTTCAGCACCGTCAGCGTCCAGTACTCCTCAGCCTGGTCCAAGGAAATGGTCGCGCTGCTGCGGAAGGTGAGTGGCCCTTGGGGGCTGCCGCTGGATGAATTGTTGGATGAATTGTCCTTCTGGGGTGGTTTGGGTTGCATGGAAGCTACTCTGCAGGCAGGAGTAGCTGGAAAATTATCAGCATATTAATAAACAATGAATAATAAGAGCAGTGATAATAATAATGTACAAAAGACAGGCTGGGAGAGTTAGGCATGTTAAGCCTTGAGAAGAGAAGCTCCAGGGAGACCTTAAAGCCCCTTCCAGTGCCTAAAGGGGCTCCAGGAGAGCTGGAGAGGGACTGGGGACAAGGCTGGAGGGACAGGACACAGGGAATGGCTCCCACTGCCAGAGGCAGGGATGGATGGGACATTGAGAATTAGGAATTGTTCCCTGGCAGGGTGGGCAGCCCTGGCACAGGTGCCCAGAGCAGCTGTGGCTGCCCCTGGATCCCTGGGACAGTGGGAGGTGTCCCTGCCATGGCAGGGGTGGCACTGGGTGAGCAGGGGTGGCACTGGTTCCAGTCCATTCTGGGACCCTATGATGAGTGATGTGTGTTGTGTGTTCATTGTCCCTGTAATAAGATGCATGATGCTTGATAGCAAGGGAAGCAAAAAGACTGGTTTTGGTGTGACAGTCAGATTCCCAGCTGGGCTGGAATTGTGCCTTCCAGCATCCCATCCTCTTCATGGTCACTGTCACCTCTGAAGGCAGCACCTCTGGCTGGGATGGCAGCTGAGGTGGAGCTGCACTGCACCACTGGATGCTCCCTCTCACTTGTTCTTTGGGGCTGAAGGGTCTGAGGGGGTTGTGAGAGCTGCTGGGGGGTTCCAGCTCTGTGGAATGCTCTGCTGCTTTCCTCATGCTGCTGCTGGAGAAAGCTGGGATGTGTTGGGGCAGCTGGTTTAGCTGTGGCTTGCTTGAGAACTCTGAAAAGTAGCTGGTGAGTTTGCTGTAGGAAAGATAAAGCCAGTGCCGGCAGCAAATAAGTGCCTCTGATATGAGTTAATGTTGGGTGGGCAGTTTGCATAATTAGATTCAGATTAATGAGGAGCTGCTGGCAGAGGCTGTGACGCGCATTCGGCGGGTTTGCATTGCCATCTGCTGGGCAGCTGGGCTCCCAGGGAATCCAGCCTCTCAGCAGGCCTGTGCCAGCAGCCCCTCAGCCGGGAGGGGACCCCCATGTCCCCCCAAGCATGTCCTTAGGTGTTTTTCGTGCAGTAAGTTATCCATATTCCCCTAAAGGCTCCCTGGCGTGGCTGAGCCCCGGCAGGCTGCTGCTGGCTGCCTTGCCTCCTCTTCTGGCAGGAGCGCTCTTCTCTGCAGTGCTGTGTCAGCAGTGCTTTTCCCTCCCCAGCTGCTGACAGTGAACCCTGAGCATCGCTTCTCCTGCCTGGCGCACATCCAGGCCTCGGCCCAGCTCTCGGCCGTGGTGTGGAGCGACGTGTGCGAGAAGCGCGTGGAGCCGGCCTTCGTCCCCAACGTGAGTAGGGGACGTGTCCCTGTCCCGAGCGGGGCTGCTCCTCAGGGCCACTGTGGGAGCAGAGCTCTTCTGAGGGGAGGAGGCGTCTGAGTCCCCGCTGTCCTGTGTCCTGGCAGAAGGGCCGCCTGCACTGTGACCCCACCTTCGAGCTGGAGGAGATGATTCTGGAGTCGAGGCCCCTGCACAAGAAGAAGAAGAGGCTGGCAAAGAACAAGTCAAGGGATAACAGCAAAGATAGCTCCCAGTCTGTATGTGCTCCCTGGGGAAGCGTGTGGCTGGGAAAAGGCTGGATCTGGGCGGGTGTTGCAGCCATTCCGGCCACACTGCGGGAGCCACGGGTCTATTTTGATGAAAACATTTGCCCACGGAGCCGTTTCAACAACCACGTATTCCTCTTTTGGAAGTTTGACCAAACTTTCACAGCAGTGGGTACTTTGGAAAGTGAGATAGGCAGCAGAGGTCTGGGCAGCCCGGTGTGTTCAGCCCCTGTCCCTGCACAGCCCCAGGCTGGGCACAAGGCAGCAGCTCCCTGTGTGCCTTGGCAGGGACTCGCACACGTGGGCTGCGTGCTGGGCTCTCCCCACGCTGCCTGAGCTTCCTTTGGGCTGACAGCACTCCCAAAATACAGGATACATGGAGAAGCAAGTTATGTTTATGTCAGGAACGGTGTGATCTGTGTCTTATAGAAAACTCCTGCCATGGATGGCACCAGCCCCTGCTGAAAGCCACGTGGCAGCTGGCCCTGCTGCCTCCAGCTGCTGGGCTGAGGTTCAGGGGGGTGGGGGCTCTGCCCACAGCTGGAGGCTCCTGCACACAGCTGGGAGTGCGGGGGGCTGCAGGCAGCAATGAGATGCAGATGGGGCTGCTTATGCATGTTTTGTTTTTCTTCAATAGGAAAATGACTATCTCCAGGAATGCCTTGAAGCTATCCAGCAGGACTTTGTAATCTTCAACAGAGAGAAGTGAGTGTGTGGGGTGCTTTTTTTAGGGAAAAATACTACTTTTTCTGATTTCCCCTAGGAATCAGTGCCACAGTGCCTGACAGTCAGGAGCACCTTGCTGCTGGCTTAGCCCCAGGTGAATGGTGTCAGCAGAGGCGCTCAGGTGCTGCCTGGCCTGTCTATGAAAAATGGCTCTAGCCACAAAGGGAGGCAAGATCAAGGATTATTAACTGCCATTAAATAAAATGTGCTGTAGAGAGACTTCTGGGATTTAACATGTGTGTGACACTGCCTCTGTTCCCCCATGGCACCTCCTCACCCAGCCTGCTTTTAGCAGATGATGTTTTGGGAAATGAAGGTGAGGAAGGTTGGACTCACCAAGCAATGACTGTGGAGATCTTTAACACATAGACTAGATTGCTAGGATCAGTCAGGTTGGAGAAGTCCCTGGTGGGAATCAGTGACAGTGCTGGGTTAAAGGCAGTGCTCTCCCAGGTTGGGCTGTTTGGTCCATAAGCAGAGTGTGAGGCAGGCTCTGTGGAGCGGGGGCTGGCAGGAGCCTGGCTGTGCTGGGGGTACTCGTGGCTGAGGCCTGGGTGGGCTGAAGCCTTGCAGGCTCTTTTGGGGCATTTCAGAGCAGTTTGGGGTGGTTTGCTGATACGCTGGGCTCTGTTTGTAAGCTCTGGGAGCACTCCTTGTTGTTCTCCATGGCTCTGCCGTAGGCATCACTCGAGCAGGGAGTTCTCACCGGGCCCTAGAGCCCCTGCCCACTGCTGGGGGACAGCCTGGGGGACAGCTCTGTAATGCTGCTTCCCCCGCTCCCACAGGCTAAAGAAGAGCCAAGAGCAGCCGAGCGAGTCCGTGTCTGCCTCTGAGACCGCCGACGAGGCCGAGGCCGAGGCCGAGCCCCTGCACATGTGCAGCTCTGTGTGCTCCTCGGGCAGCAGCTAGGCTGGGCCAGGCCGCCCTCACCTGCCCTCAGGTGTGCTGAGCACCCCAGCCCGCCCCGCTGCCCCCGGACAGCACC